AACAAAGGAGGCACAGAACATGGCCCCGTGGGACTCAGTGAGGAGGTGTGACAGCACAGCTCCACATCAACAAAGGAGGCACAGAACATGGCCCCGTGGGACTCAGTGAGGAGGTGTGACAGCACAGCTCCACATCAACAAAGGAGGCACAGAACATGGCCCCGTGGGACTCAGTGAGGAGGTGTGACAGCACAGCTCCACATCAACAAAGGAGGCACAGAACATGGCCCCGTGGGACTCAGTGACGAGGTGTGACAGCACAGCTCCTAGGATCACAGACACAATAATATTTATTTATTCATTTACTTTTACCATTAATTGACAATACAGTCATCTTATTCATAAATGTAGCAACAGCTTGTCTTTAATTGAAAATGCCATAAAAATCCTTAGCTCTTTTGGGTAGAAAAATATGAAACACTTTAACCTATCTTTATAAAAAAAACTTACTTCAACGATAACTTTTAGCGCCTGATTACAATATGTATAAGATGTTACCATGAGGTCAGGAAGTTATTCTAATATAGGTCTATAAATGACTGTCAATAACGCTTTGAGTTAAAAAAAGCACTTGTGTTGTATGGATATTTTACCTATTTTTCTTGCTTTCTGTCTGACTATATTTTATGACAATGATAGTCCGCTGTACTTTCTTTCTCGCATTAGATGAGTTAAATTTGTTTGTTAAACCAAAACTGTACAATCGCGCAAGGGGTTGCGTTTGCAAACTACATATCCCATGAGGCACTATGAATTCATTGTATCCAGGAAGTTGTGTTCCGTTGTTAACCAAACTAATGCGTGGTCCAGGCGGTGGGTACCTTATGAAATTAGTAAAATGTGTCAGGTTACGTCCTAATTTTCAAGGTAAGGAATCAATCTATCTAGCCGTCAGACACAATAACAACGGCGTTAGCTTTGATAGACGTAATTTTGCTGTCCATCTGAAATCACCGATTTAAATATGCTTCCTAATTTATATGGACTCATTAGTTATGATTTTAGCGTAGGACACAGGACACAGGCATGGAAATTCGTACAGAAGTGCGTTCCCTTAAGGACTAAATGGGAATAATAAGTGCGACGTGATGGTGACTATGGTATGTGCACTGCAGGATTATATGGCATTTGATGCAATATATGTAATTTAAAATTTAAGGAATTATACAATATATGAAACAACATGTTCCTGTCACGTTTCAACTCTCTTCTTAGCCCTAGTTATAACGATCATATTTCTATATCTGTTCTGTTTAAATGTTTAGAGAGATTTTCAGTGGAAAGTAAGATTACATCCATGCGATTGTCTGTCAATAGCCTAGAATAAAGAAGTTTATGATAATGCTAAATTATGGAGATAATCCTCTAATCTTCAGGCAATGAGCAGAGATGCATCGCTCAGCGAAGACTGCGGGCGCAGTTGGCGTCGTGGTGCAGGAGCTCGGCTGCTCCACTGACATCAATCCCACGCCGCCGGTGGTCGAGGATCCAGAGCCCCTGCTGGATCTCTACCTCTCCCCGGAGAAGCTGGTACGGCTCCGGCCTCGTTAGCCTCAAGACTCTGCACTACAGCACCGGGGCTGTGTGGGTCTGGACAAAGAGAGACATCCTGCTGTCTTCTGCCATTTACACAGTATATACGCTAGTTGTGATATTAAAATATAATAGGTAATGTCTTGGGCAAACCATCAATTCACGCACTACGATTGAGTAAATATCACCCTCTGAATTCAGTGAAACAGATAATATAATGACTAATAATTCTTATGTAACACATAGCTGAGTTTTAGTAATCATATCTCATCTGTTTTTTTCCTGAAAGCAGAACTAACCTTTTATCTGCTTAGTGTTTTTGGCAAACGTGCGTTTTTCTTCTCGCCGCTTACGTCTTTCTGTCTTTGATTCATCCTAGCGTGGTTTCCTGGCGGCCACGCAATTAGCTTCTTTAGTAATATTGCTTTCTCGGCATGAGAGACAGCTGGGCACACTAGGAGGAACCCCATTTAACTGCCGGAAAACGTGATTTATCGCGGGCATCTAGCTGATTACAGTCAGCAGAAAGGGCTCCTGTAATGCTGTCAACAATCCGAGCTGGCTGGCTCTCCTTATGCAAGGCGGGGAGCCACTGCGTATTTTCATTTGTTTCAAAAGCAGATGGCAAGGAATGTATTGAACCTATTTTCAATTAAAATAGTACGCTAAATGTAATGCGCTAAATGGAGATGTGAATGTATCCATTATCCATCTGCTTATTCAGTACATGGTCACAGATCGGGGTCTGCACACCATTCCATGCAACAGGGAACACAAGGGACAGAACACCCTGGACAGAATGCTGGTGCGTGGCAGGACACCAGGCATGTCTGGGGGGGGCTGCTGGTGCGTGAACATCGTAATTAATGAATGAAAATGGACCACCATTAAAGTTCCAATTGCTCTTTTTTGATAACTGATGATCACACATAATCTCCCATCATGAGAGAGACCCCCCCCCCAGGAAAAAAGCACCTGGTCCTTGAAAAGTCTCTGCACGTCGCCTGAGGGAACAAACACAAACACACAGTCTGGACAATTTTGAGACACCAGTTGGCTGAACTGCATGTCTTTGGACTGCAGGAGGAAACTGTAATACCCAGAGGGATATGGGGGTGGGACGTAAAGCCCAAATCAAGGAGGTGTCGGAAAATAGATTCAGTTCTGTTCGTTTCTTATATGACTTCATTCTGGCTACCCTGTGAGTCAGTGAGATCATGCTGCTTTATTTGAGGTGTGTGGACGTTTTGGTTTTTTTCCCCCTGAACATCATGATGAACTAGGCTGACTTATCTGAGGATGTTTCGCTTAAATGTGTATCTCTGCAGCGAGTGCTGGGGGGCTGCGAGGACCTGCGGGGGGTCATTGTCCTGGAAATGTCTGTCGACACGCGGGAGAACACCCTTGGCAACTTCGGTGAGGGAGCCGCACGTGAACTCCTAACGCCCCTAGATGTCGATGCATTGAATGCAATGTGGACGCACACGGGGGGGGAACCGGCTGAGCGCAGCCGCCGTGGTTTCTGATGCGAGGAGATTATCTCTGGGTTGCTTACACCCACAGGTATCTTCTTGCCAAGTCTTGTGCAGCTGAAGATGAACAACAGTTTGATCATGTCCATAAGGTAAGACTTTTATATGTTTGTCAAGTTTCAGTGATTTTTCAGGCTGATCTGAGGGGTCTCATAAACCCCTCTGCAGTGTTGTGCATAGAAGGGGCAGGTGCTTTTTTCCTGGGGAGGGGGGCAGGTGCCTCTGGTTGGGTTTGGGGTCGGTTGGTAGCCATGATTTAGGCTTAGATACTTACAGGCCTATGCTAGACTGTAGTTTACAGACTTCTGTTCAGTGTTTAATACTCTATACAACCACAGGTCAGGGTAATCAGTGAAGAACGGACACCCCAAATACCGACATCAATGACTCGGTGAGGTGGGGGGGCTGGGGTGCTTGAGCAACTGACCCTTTTGGGACGATCGACAGAAAGTGCCCCCCTTTTTGATAACCCCCTGATTTAGATTTGATTACATTAGATGAGAGGAAACTTGTTTCGGACACATACCACAATTGCTACTGAAAAACAAACAACAGATCACGGAACACATAAAAAATGAACATTTGTCCTATATGCTGTCACAACATTTTGATATACTCAGATTGCCATAGACTCAACAAATACAAATGATGTCCATTTTACAATGTATTCAGTCGCGTTAAAATATAGTGTTACCATTAAAAAGTACATTTGTTTGTTAATAAATATTTAGAATGACTCACGTGGCTTTGGCTGTCTTATTTCGGACCTTGCTGGACATGGGAACATAACAGTATTGGTGTCTGACCCACAGGGCACACAATGACAGTCAGGGAAACATCTAAGGAAACGTGTCTCCACAATAAACAATCACTAAGAGGAGCACTTTTAGAACAGTGATACTTCATTGACCCCTGAGGGGAAATTCTGTTTTTGCTTGCTCTGCTGGCCCCAGGATTCAAACTGGCAACCTTCTGATCACAGACACATCCCCCCCCCCCCCCCTCACGCTGGTGTGTGACATGACAGGTTATGACTAAACCATCAGCTTCCGGCCTGTGAGATGTACTTCATGAGTCGCCACCAGTCAGAGGTGAATAGTTCATGGGCAGAAAGTAAAAATCCAGACCAAGGTTTTGTTTTAACCAACCGGCTGAGTACTCTGTGACTGCGACTTTCTATACTCACCTGCCTGGTTGAAACAAAATCTTGCTTTGGATTTTTACTTTCTGGACCTGAACTTTCCACCTCTGCCACCAGCTTCAGTTCCACATGTTGTGCTGTATGAGTCAAAACAAACACACCGGCCGTCAGTGTCGCCCACCAGCTTGTTCGCTGTGAAGCTAGCCGGGTCCAACCTCAGCCCTGCATCCCCCCCCCCCCCCCCACCTCTGATGCTGTCATCGCTAAGCTGCTCTCAGCTACTGTGTCAGATGCCGTTTATTATTACTGTGACCACATTCTGACCACTGTGGAGCAAACTGTCACGGGAATCTGGGAGTGCTGATGGGAGGGGGATGGTCCTTCATTACTGCATGGATGCTGTGGTCACTGGGGGCAGGAGAGTGGGCCACTCACAGCTGTCGCTGCATCCACAGGGACCTGGGGACATCACTGTCCCACCTGCGTGTCCTGTGCATGGCTCGCTGCGGCCTCATCGACCTGGACGGGATCCCATCGTTCTGCTCCCTCAAGGTCGGACAGCGAGCTCACCCCAAGCATTCATTAATTAACATTCATTCTTCCATTCCGATATCTGACCGTTATCTCAGTGTCAGCTGATGGTCAGTGTTACCATAGTTTCTGTGATTGACCTCTGACCCCATCGCCCACTCAGGAGCTGTACGCGGCCTACAATGACATCTCGGACCTCAGCCAGCTCAGCATGCTGGAGCACCTGGAACTCTTGGACTTGGAGGGCAACAACGTGGACGATCTCGTCCAGGTGCAGTACCTGGGCCTCTGCAGCCAGCTCCGTGCCCTGACCCTGGAGGGAAACCCCATCTGCATGCACCCCCACCCGGCCACGCAGCAGGTACTTGACCCCACCCATTTTACTGGAAATCCCCTTCCAGTAGATGATGAGATCAGTGGTCATCTCGATCGGTGATGTTATTGTCCTATTTTATCTTGTACTTGAAAAGCCAGTTGGGACGCTATACTAGATCAGCACCTGTTGTTTTTGGAGCGTGGTGGTAATGTGTGGTTAGCGTCACTGGTGAACTCCCCAACCTGAGATCTGTGCTATATCTGAGCCTCAGCGTTCCACAGGAGATCGTGATGCTTGCAAGGGACACATGGAACAGCAAGCTTCTGTCATGCGTACGCAATGGGCCAGTGTGCTGTCACATGACATGAGATCCATGCGATTGATTCACAGTTGCGGGGGGTGGCATGCATGTAGCCGGAGGGGAAGATGACCAATAGGACTAAAGGACTTTGTAGATGAATGACAGCACAAGAGTGTCTTCTCGCTGTTGCCCCCTCCGTTGCATTGAAATGCAGTCAGTGCATTCAGCTGAATAAAAGGGCTTTTTGATGTGCTGATTCCAGTGGAGGCAGGGGGCGTGGGTGGGGGGCAGGTGGCCTATGACTCAGCGAAGCCCAGGTGCCTGTTTTTGTGTCTCTGTGCTTTTGTTTTCCGTCTTGAGCTGCAAATGTTTCCGACACTAATGGCTCGGGTTGTGTAGTTCGGATAAAATGAACGCAGGCTCATTGGCTGGCCGAGGGGGAGACAGTCCGGCGTTTTCTTTGGTCTGGATATGAGCTGTCATGAGGCCTGAGGTCAGCATAAATATGAGCTGGACTCTCCCAGTGGGAGTTTGGCAGACACCTGTGGGCTCAGCGCCTCTCTCCCCATAATCATGGGACCAATGAAAAAATGTGTTAAAAAGGCCACTTAAAATGTAATGTGAAATGCTCCCACCTAGTGTACAGGAGTGGTATTTACATGGCCTGTGCTTTGGGGCCGGCTGCTTGTCTGGACAGGCAGCGCCATACTGCTACAGGTCAGCTGTAAGGGATCTGGTTCCGCAGCTGCGTTACCTGGACGACATCCCAGCGGAGGATACAGAACCTCGCTACGGCACGGCCTCCCTGGAGGACTGGGATGTGATCAAGGAGTCCATTAAGGAGAGGCTCTCAGACAGCCTGGGGCCTTCAGGTAGGGAAAATGTCTCGGGATTGGGGGGGTGTGGGGGGGGGGGGGGGGGGGGCGGGATGCTGTGTGAGTAAAATGATGTGTGAGTAAAATCCTATTTGCACTGAACCACCAGAAGAGAAGACAGTCGGGGGAGTTCCCTCCTCTCGACCCTCTTCGGCACCTCTCCCCCTCAGCCGATCAGCCAGCCGACCCGGCACCGCCCGACCCGGCACCGCCCGACCCGGCACCGCCCGACCCGGCACCGCCCGACCCGGCACTGCCCGACCCGGCACCGCCCGACCCGCCTCCTGCCCCAGGTCCAGGCCTGGCTCAGCTGATGCGGATCCCGCTTTTGTGGACCCGGATGCCAGCGACTTGACACATGGTGACTTTGCCAGACGGCGTCCTCTGCTGCAAGACAGAGCTAATCCTACAGTGACAGACGTGCTGGGGATCCAGAGCAGGCAGGCCTTAGTGCAGCCTACAGACAGTCAGGATGCTTTATTAAATATTCCAAAAAAAGGAAAATTCATGGTGGTCTCGACCCTTGAAGTACAATAAACCACAAAACACACTGTGTTCTGGACAGTGTTACTTAGTTACTTAGGTGAAGTGTGGGACTTTTAAACAGATCTTTTCCTATTTCTGTCAGGGCTAAGTGAGCCATGAAAAGGAGTAGGAGTGTGTGGAGGATAGTGTGGCCAGTACAGTTTATGCGCACTGCCCCCTGCAGGTCATAGTGAGAGTTTGCAGATTGGATTCTGACAGGTCTGTTGGCTGTGGTGTCTTGTGCTCTGAAGCTCCACATGTTGGGTTCTGTCACCAGGCATGGGCCGGGTGATGTGTGGAAACCCTGTGCAGGCCCTCAAGCAGTGGCGGCAGAAGCTCAGCGTAAGCTGGACCTCCTGCAACCCTTCAGTCCATCACAGTCACTCTCTTTGAAATGCCATTAAAACATTGTTACAATTGCTAGTAGTAGTTATAGCAATAATGACACATTGTGACCTAGTAGACGTTTATATACTAGTCACTATTTTGCCCATTTATTTACATGAATATAATTTTTCTTGCCCAGTTCAGAGACACAACATCTTTCAGGATCTGAAACTTCCTTGTTACAATTCTTTGTTTTTTTTTTTAATGTTTCATCCAAATGGTGATTTGTTTTGGAGCTGTTTGTATTCCAGAGCAATGATAATAGTAAATATAAGGCTGACATACACAGTAGAGGACTTGCATCACACATTATAACATTAAAACGATCAGTAACAGCAAGGGAACCGTAAGAGTTGAACTGGCACGAATAAGCCTCCATAATGATGATCGTGACAGACTTTCCCTTTAAGACACAGAACCCTGAGTACTGAGGTCATGCCTAGGCTGTGCTCCCCAGCCTGGGGGCAGCTGTCTGAGTGTGTGAGCGTGAAGGTAGTTTGTGGAGCCTGTGTTTCTTGGCTCCTAGTGGCCTGTCCCTCAGCCACCCCCAAGTCTCTCCCACAAATGCTTGCTTCTCCCATCTCTGCAGCGCCCCATCTCCTGTTCTCCCTCCCTCTCCTCGAGCTACACCCCCCAGGGCCAGCCCAACAGCTTCAGGGAGTGCCGCTGTGACCCTGGGGAAGCAGAAGATGCTGAATGTGGTGACGTGTTCACAGAGCTGCAGGCCTGGAGACAGGGGCACAGCAGGTATCCGGCCTCTGTCTGTCTGTCCCTCTGTCCGTCTGTCTCTCTGTCCGCCTGTCCCTCTGTCCGCCTGTCCCTCTGTCCGCCTGTCCCTCTGTCCGTCTGTCCCTCTGTCTGTCTGTCCCTCTGTCCCTCTGTCCGTCTGTCCGTCCTCCACTGTGATCCTCGGCCCTAGCCTGCGACTGTGTGCCTCGTTTCCCTTCTGCGATAGGCGGCTGATCGCCATAGCAAAGGAGCGCCTGCCACAGGTGATGAAGCTGTCCCACAGCATGGAGGATGATGAGGAGGAAGGCAAAGGCAGCAGCATTGACTCCATGAGTGACGAAGAGGGAGATGAGGAAGGCGAGGGCCAGAGAGCAGGCAGCAGTCCCTGGAACAGCACAGACTCCCCAGATTCTTCCTTCCAGTCTCTGACCCCAGGCGAGTACCCCCCCCCCCAACAGCACCAGTATGGAATGGATCAAACACCTGTACAGAAACAGCTGATCCGACTATGAATGCTCTGTTTGATGTGATCAGATTTCATGTCGGAGGGCAACGCCATGTCTCCCGGTGTCTCACGGACCTCCACACCACTGGACGCCACCGTGTGTCCCTCCCCGCCCCTGACGCTCAGGGCGCCAGCCGGTGCCCGCAGGGGGGCGTTTGAGATACGCACGCGCCGGCTGCGGACGGTCAGGAAGGTGCCATTGGGTGGAGGAGGAGGAGGAGGAGATGGAGAAGGGAGAGCAGGGCCCTTGCCAGGGGAGGAGGTGCTGAGCACGTGCCCTGAGAGTCATTTTGCTCTGACGCCTGGTAGCATTCCGCCACATAGATCCAGCTCAGGACCTGATGTCCTGGGACACACAAGTCTACGGTATTCACCTATCTAAGCGAATACTATCTTTGTCTATATGTCCCCATCTCATGTTTACAATCCCTTTTGTTTGAAGTGACGAGACAGCGAGGAGCTACCAGATCCGGCCAGTCCACGTCCACTTTCCCACAATGCCCCAGGTGTCCCCCGTACCTCTGACACCCAGAAGGCCTCGCTCCGCCCGGCCCTCCCTCCAGGGGCTCCCCACCCAGGATGGTCCCCACTGCAGCTGACAGCTAGAGCTTCCTGTGGAACAGCTGTGGGTGCTTATCTGGAGGGTGATGGGGGGTGTGAACTTCTGCTCTGCTGGATGGCTCTCACTGCTGTTCCACTACAATAACTGAATTAAGTCCTTGGGTTATTAAATGTATAAGGCTTCATCTTCTAGGATCTACAGGCTATCAACCTACTATATAAACAAGCTTTTTTTTTGCACACTGATTCAAATGAATTTCTCAGCTTTACAGAAACAAATACTAATACTTTTTCTGGATAACATGTTCAATAAACAAATTTTGGATGAGTACATTTTCTTCAAATGCATAAGTATGGAAACAGCTAGTTGATTTTGCTTCAGGCTGAAAAGTGGCATAAGTTTTTAATTCTTAAGTGTTCCTGAGAATAATGGCTGTAAGGTAAGGAAAGTTCTGAGAGCAAGGAATTCCTGGCCTTTCACACGCGTGACACTGTTAATGCAGCAAGAGGTTTTGGTTAAAAACCATTCTAATTCTGACATGTATACCGTTTATCTAAAAGCACTGTGAGAATGTCCTGTAACTGAGAACGAAGAAATGTGTAAGATGCCCATTCATTGGCGTGAGTAAATTTGTATAACATAACAAGAGGGAGAAAATATTAAGTCCAGTAGTCATACTGATAAAATGTAACTGACATCTTATTGGCCACAATGCTGCGTTTTGAAAAGGAAGGAAATTCAGAACAAAAAAGTACATGAACTTATGCATGGAATCATAACCAACAAATCATATTTCAGACTTTAATACGTATGTAACGTCACAATGACGCTTGTATGGAAAAAAATACAACATAAACTTGTCTGTGCTTCTCTAACGCACTAGGTATGATTAGAAGTAATACATGCTGTCCACCAGGGGGTGCTGTCTACATGCTCACCGCTGCTCCTGGCGTTCAGATTTCAAAAAAAGTTTTCATGTCATCTCTGGCATTATAGGAAGAATGACAAAGTAATTTACAAATACAACACATAAAGACCAAAATATACGGTGGTAAACATTCTGTGTGTTCATATTCAGTTGAAAATGTCGGAATCCTAAAACATGGGTATTAATTCTGGTTAATCGATGTTTGCGTCAGTTTTCTAATTCACATGGGTATAAACCTCTGAACAGAGAGAGCACAAAATTAGTTCGATCAGGGAGAAAATCTGTTCAGTCAAGCGCGTAAATACTGCAGTCTGTATCATATTTCAGTCTCTCAGAACTTCCACACGTCTCACGTGTACTGTTCTATTTGAGGTTACAGGAATCCGTCAGATGCCTAAAGTTATTGTTATTCGAAATAATCCCCATTCAAAACTTTTCGTTCAGTTTCCCTTTCTATCTGACATGTTAGCCTGTTATCGTCTCTGATTTCACTCAGTTTTTAAAAAAAAAAAGGAAAAGAAGGGCTAAACATGGTCTAGGTCATTCTCCTACACTTTACCCGCTGCAAATTATTGGCAAAGCTGTCAAGCTTTCTGCCAAATGGTGGAGCCACCAGGCCAGACCGCATTGACATCCGATCCCATAAGTACCATTCTGAGGTGCTGTTTTGATTGGAGCTCCGTGTTCCCGCTCTCGCACTCCACTTGACACAGGTGAACGTCTTGCACGTTCTTAAATTCTTAGGCACGTTCAGTCCTGTGGCCTGTGTCTTTATTATTATTTATTTTGGGGGGAGGGGGAGGAGGGGGGCTGACAGAATAGCCACAAAAATGCACGAATTCCATGCAATGCGGAAAAAATAACAAAACGGAAAAGTTTTACAGAAATAAGTAAATAGAAAACAATGTGTATGTAAAATGGGATTTGATAAAGCAGAATTGTCGCGCCCTGCTCGTCTGATCCCCCTGTGTGTCACGCCCTCTCGTTAACCTCGTGTGAAATCCAGGTCACCGGCTGTTTCTTGTTATTTCCATTAAGTCCTGTGTATTTAAGTGCTTCCCCGTTAGTCTTTCCCCAGTCCTATCCTTAATGTCTTTGGGTTGCTAATGTCCAGTTGTGCTCCTGATTGTGTCCCGCCCTTCTTAAAACCTGAATTTTGTCCTGGAATCTGGTGCTTCCCTTCCCGCCGTGCTGGCAGCGGTCACGACAAGAATTACAAAGCCGGTCCCTTTTGTTCATTGTCCTGCGGTCACATAACCTAAAGGCAATTCATTCATTTTGTGCCACCAGCTCCCAAAAATTACGTGCTCACCTCTGCCCAATCCAGATCACAATTTCTTGACTTACCATTAATTCTTTCCTAATATCCAGAATACCTTGTTATTGAGAGCAGCTTACACCGTGTGTTTATTAAAACTATGCTCCTCTCTCTGTCATGCTGAGATATATCTGCCTGGGCGATTCTAACTAATAACCCTGCTGAAAGTCAGCTTTGTGAGATTTGGACTCGGGCCATCTGCTCCCAGAAGTGGCCCCTGGATCATGGCACCACGCCCTGCCCCTGACAGGTGTCTCCTATGTCTTGTCACACTAACCTGACTGCCACAGAAACCCAGGTAAACACACACAATCCACAACACAATATCCCTTTGTCTTTACATAAAGAAAGATCCTATAGATAGACACTTTCTCTTTTTTCATGTGAAATATGTACTTGTCCATATACTTGCACACACAGGCATTGCAGGTGGAAGGAAACACAATCGGGGACTTTGATTTTACCAGTGAGGTAGCAAACGGTTGACCTTCAATGGCTCCATCTCCTCCCAGATCCTCTGTTTTCTTACTATGATTACAGGTTTGAGCTTTGAACCTTCCCCGTAATGTCAGACCAGTGATAAACCACAACGATGCCGTGCCATTAAAACGGAAAGCAGCGCATACTCCCCCTTGGCTCCGGGGCCGCAGAAACCACTCACAATATCATGACAACTGGAAACAGTCAAAGGGGGAGAGAAACACACACTGAAGGGCCATACAAAGAACTAACAAAACATCCTGTAAAATGCCAACCAGAGGCTGAATTGCTGTGATTTCACAATATAAAGTTAGCCAACATTTTTTTGCATGTCCTGTCTCTTAACATTCCATAAGATAAATAATTTGAATTTTTATATTCAAATATGAAGTTATTCTCACCTGTTTGTACACAATATTATACTCAGGGGCGCATTAATGCCCGGACTCTGGCTGAATGTTTATCATCGGGACACACCCCCCCCCCCCCATTCGGCAAATTTTATCGTCACCATCTTAGAAAACAGTAGGTGGCCCTCTGTCAACGCAAATAACCCAGGGGCCTCTGAGCGTGTTAATGCACCTCTGATTATTATGCAAAATAATCACGATTTGGTAAGCACACCTGGTTTTGAAAAACATATATTGCTCTATTGAGTGGGATTCTGATTAAAAAGTAAGAATAAACAAATTCCAGACGCGGTAGAAGTGTTGGGTTGAGACAAGTCTAGGACAGAATTGTTTTTTCGGATAACAGCTTTCTGCCGAGGGGACATTCCTGTCAAGCCGTTTAAAAGACTTCTCCCTGGCTGATTGCTCTCCTGCAAAACACGGAGTACAGGTGCAGTCCACGTAACCACGTCCTTTAGTTTCCACGCCGATCGCGGACCAGACAGCAGATCCACAAGCTTAACAGCACCTCCCTGTGGGTTTGAGGCTGGCAATAAGCCCAGTCCCAAGGATGCGCAGGGTGCGCTGGAAGCCCTGGACTGCGGCTACGCAGCTCATGAAACGCGGGGAAGAGCAGCTGGGCTGTTTCTAGCTGGTCTCTTTGGGCGCACCTCAGCGTTATCTCATGCGGGCTTTTTAAATGTTACCGGAGCATTAAGGGAGAAAACTGCTTTCAACAAAAGATGTTAAAAGCACGCCCCATTTGCTGACAATTTTAAAAGGTGGCAAAATAAACTAGATTTAAGGAAGCGCATGCATTCTTGTTAATACCAGTTTCCCTCATCTACACCAGTAATACTGGAAGTGTTTTATTCCTGATCAAAACTAATTTAATTACAACTCGTCTTTATTTTAATGTGAGTCTCATTAGCATCCCCCACCGCTGGGCTTATGCAGTCGTGCACTAGCAACAGCACACATGCGTTATCGCGCGGGTAGAGAGCTCGTGCGGTTGTTTTTGGTTGCCATGGCAGGACGAAACCTGTTGCTAGGTGAAGCTGTCCGGAAGTAAACGGTAGAGAAGAGGCATTAAGAGGCGCTCGGACACTACAGCCACTCAGGCGTATCTTATAGAAGTACAACCACGGTCCTTTCTATAGGCAGAAAAAAACAAGGTAAAGTGCAAGTTTTTATTTTATTCAATGAAAGGTTTAAGTGAAAATACAATTCTGAGGGAACTATTTTCATTTTTCTTTTACTCAAGACCGTCTTTGGTGCTGAAACTGTGAAAGAGGTTGACAGACAGACCTTGACGTCTCGTCGTTATTCGGTTGGTAAAACATAACCAGTAAATTTGAGAAACATGGGAATATTTTGTATCAGTTTGTAAAGACTTTTTAAACATTTAAGTACTGTAGAGTCTAGAGTGTAGGCTGTCAGCGCATACTCAGCTGTGAGCTATAAAGTTATGCTATGGCAGTACAGCCAGCAAGAAAAACGAACGATTTATCGGAAGCGTATAGTTGTTTAATAAATAAAGTTTAAAATAAGATATTTCGCTATAGCCACAAGAGACGATACCGACAAAGCTCACTTTAATCATCTCTATTTTACTTAGTATTTTAACCTACTGTAGTCTATTTTAAGTATTTGCAAATTGAGATTAAAAATAACTGCGACATATCTTGACATCTGTTTAGGGGAGGTAGCGTTATTACTGCTTAATAACATTTGAAACTTTGCTGGGTTATATAATTATACAGTGTGATGGTTAGGATGGCTAGTATTGTAAGTACTTTGGAAGGTGATTAATTTTGTAAAATATACGCTGCGTGACGTCTGTTAGCCTGTCAATCTACGCATCCACCTGCGCGCATGCGCAACACGAACACTTACTCCATCGCCGCAGGCTCCTCTCTCCCACACGTGCCGTCCACGTCCGTTCATTTTGACTCGTTTTACTCTGACGTTTTTAAACTAAGCGTTTTACAGAACAGGGAAGGGTTCGAATTTATGTATATTTTCTAGTATTTGAACCCTTGTCGTTTGTGTTGTTAGCGGAATTGTCTACTTGAGCTACACCTACAATAGCCTAGCTGTTTTCGAAGCTATTAAAAAGTACGGACAGTTCAGTAGTGACGTTGTAATATCACGCAGAGACGGCTGCAGGTCTG